GTCTCCTTCTCTGGAAAGGCAAGTAGTGCCCATGGGTTCTTGCCATGCTACTCACCTGAAGGGGCTGCTCGGGTGTGACCACGTGGAGGTGGTTCCCCTCCCAGGACAATGAGGGGATGTTACTGTTGGCTGTGAAAACAGAATGGTGTGGGGTTTTTTACTTGTCAGAAAGCTAAAGAAATTACATATTAAAAAGCTGAGAAATTAATAGCTCTTTATCAAGCTGCCCATTGTTTTAGAATACAGCCATGCTTTCCCTGATTTTCCATGTTAGTGTTCTTCAGTTGCCCTCTTACACAAAGGCTGGTACCAGGCACCACAAATGCTAAGGAAAGAAAAATGGAATGGCATCCATTAGTAAATTCCTTCCGTATTTCTGCACTTCTGGTTTTAGTACTCTACCCCTGATTTACCTGTACAAATAAGAGAGGTCTCTGTTAGAGCTGGCCAGTGTCCTCAGCCTCTTGGGAAGACAGCCCATGGAAGCTGAGCCATTGGCACTGCAACCTGCACTCTCCCAGCAGGAGCCCAGGTGATCTCCCAGCTTCTGATGAAGGAAATCTGTGAGAACTGCTGCTGCTTCTGGAGTAAAGCTAATGTTTGTGTTCATCCTTAAATAAGTGCTTAAAGAGTGTAAGCCTTTCCTCCTCCCTTTGCTCCTAGGGCGTGGAAGGAGGAGGATTGCCAACACAGAACAGCAGAACTGTATCTGCCGCAGTGAGGCTGCAAGAGCAGCTGGCAGCAGCAAGCCTCAGTCCTCGTGAGCTGGAAATGATTGCAAAATCTGAATTTCAGAAACAAAAGGCCTGACCATCTTCACCCTAGAGCTTGTTCCTCAGAGCTTGTGTGGTTTTCCCCCCTCAGGCACCCTTCTCATGCTCTGGGCTATGAATGGGATTGGGGAGGAGAGAGGAGTCCCAGATTGATGGCTTCCCTCAGGAAAGCTGCCACAGCTGAAATCTTGTGCTTTAACTGCCTGTACAGTTGCCAGATCCATTTAGCGCATAATTCGTTTTGCTCTCAGGGATACATGAGATGTTTTTGCAAATAATGAATTATGTAGAGAAGGGTTTGATTCATTCTGTTTGTTCCAGGTTGGAAACATTAATAGAAGAGCTGGGGGACCTTGAAGCCAAGTGCAAATGCTGTCATCTTGCAAATCTTGAGGGTGAAGAGTAGCTCTCCTTTAGTCTGCCTGTGTCACCTCACTGTACAGCCTGGCCAGGTTTGGCCTGTGAATGTCTCATCCTTGGTGCCAGCAGCGATACAGACACAAGTGTGTCTTTCAAAGCCACCAACACACGGACCAGCTCAGAGAAAGCACCAATGCTTTTGTGGGGGCAAGGACAACGAGCAGTTTGGTTTCTAATGTAAAGTAGAGCCCTTGTATTGTACATTAATAAATATTTGGCAGGAATGAAACTCTGAAGCCAATGCCTTGGAGAAAAGAGTTTTTAAAGCATGATTGTACTTTCCCTGGGCTGTTTCTGAAGAAAGAACTGCACTGTAAAGAAAACCCCAGTCCTTGGCTGCACAAATACATGAGCTGTTTTGCTGTTACTGCTGCTTCTGAAGTCCAGTTCATTGAATTTGCCAAGGCAGTTTTCTGCTCTAAAAACTGTAAAATAAAATAATAGGGAATGAAGGTAAAAGGATGGGGAAAGCCCTGAGAGAATTTCAGAGAGGAGCAAGGCTGAAATCATTTCCTGTCAGGGTACAGGGTCCACAGCTTGAAGCCCTTCCCCTGGCAAAGCTCACTCCAAGCAGCAGCTGGAGCATGGTGTGCCACTCCACCACCTCTCCTCTCCTTTTGCATGTGGAGCAGCTGTTCAAACCTCTCAGACTTTGCCCATCTGGTGTCTCACTCAGCACAGGCAGTTTGGAGCAGCAGTGCCACCCATGGCTACCTGCTTAGGCCCATGTGAAGTGAGTGCTGTGGCCATTAAATCTATTTCTAGATTCAGGCCTATGTTCAAATGCTCTGTAAGCACTGCCCTGTGCCTTGCTTTCTCTTGTGGCAGGGTTAAAGAACCAGCCCAGCCCAGTCTGCGCCAGGCAATTTTTGGTAGGTGACCTGTGTGCAAGTAGCAGAAAGCTGCACACACTTATTTCTGCTAGACAAGCCACTGTCCCTGCTGAGGGACAGTGCCACCTTGCCTGGAGCTGGGAAGGGAAGGCAGGAGACAGGTGGCAGCAGCCTGGCAGGCTCTGTGCCCCGTGGGACCTGGCAGCCCTTGGGCAGCGGCATAATGGTCAGGCTCTTGTGCCTGTGTGGTACCTGCAAACACAGGGATGGTGTCAAAACTGGGCCCAGGACCAAAGCTGTGTGCCAGCTGTGCTGTAGTGAGGAGAGACACCATTCCCACACAGTTTTCTGTCACTTCAGATCTCTGTTCCAGTTAGCAATTTTCCAGGCCATGTAATGGTGATGTGATCAAAGTCTGTCTGAAACACTAAAATCTAGAGGGATATGGGTAAGAGAAAACACAGAGTTGCTTGAACATTACTCAAAATATTTTAATGTACATGCTGTAGCCACATTAAAGAAGAGGAAAAAACATCTTACAGAGATGAAAGACGCCAAAGGATGTGATTTCATCATGCCAGAAGCTGTATGTTTCAGAGTGACTGAAGCCAATAGCATCAAAATGCTCTTTTTCTGGTGTATGAAAACCAGATCAAGAGGCATGGAAAGGGAAGAGCAAACATGCATTTAACTGACAGATTAGGCTGTTCTGATCCACCAGGTAAAGACGCAGTCCTGTGGTTTTTAGGGTTTTTAAACAGGTATAAATTTGGTATAAAGAGTACTTTGAACAGTTTTACTCATACATACCTAGTGGGCTGAAATAGCTGTGCTATGTTGGGTATTTACAGAGAATGATGGAGAACATGTCAATATGCATGAAACCCCTACCACATACAGTGGGTTTGAGTCACACACCAGTGAATGTCAGCCAAGGCGAGTGTGGTACCCGGCTCTGTCACAAGGTGGAAGTTGAGCAGCCTGTGACAGCCCTGACTGTGCTCACAGGGATACCTGCAGTGAGCCCAGCTCCATTTCAGCCCTGCCTGCCCCTGGGTGGGACCAAGGGCACTACACTCCTGCCAAAACCAGCCTCTCAGCTCCCCCATTTCTCTCAAGCCCTTAAAGAAGGTAAGGCCAAGATTCAGCTGATGAACCAATACTCCTGAGTGCCACTGGCCACAAAGAGACATTGATTACTTTCCAAACTACTTATTACAATCAGTGGATATTTTGATAATAGAGGTTAAGCCCAATCTAGGGAAGATCCATAAGCATAGCTGGCTTCTAGGCTAACACTAACAGGAGTTTAGACAAGGGCCATGTGTGGACCTTACTACCCAGTTGTCCCTTTGCCAGAGTTGTTGGCAAAGCTCCATTCCTTAATCACTGACAGATTTGTCTCCCTCACCAGGCTCAGAAGTGTCAATAGAAGGGAACAGCTGCTTGCCTGGAGACGAGGACTTACTCTGAGCAGTTGTACTCAGTTTAGCAAAACTGTCTCTTTTCATTCCACTGTCACCCAGTTAAACCACCCTCTTCTCAGCGGGCTCCTCACCAATTTTCCAACAGGCCATTGATCCCAGATGCTGTCATAACTCAGGCCTGAGGACAACTAAGGTCAGAGCACTGCTCATAGAAATACCTAATGCCACTGGAGGATCCCACGCCATACATGCTGAACAGCCTCTGCTGTTCCATACTTACCAAAAGCCAGTGAGATTCAGGAGGATGAAAGTAACATTGAGGAAGTTGCATGACAGCAAAATACTGTACAGCAAAAAATGAAAGCTAGTATCTTCTGTGTTCTCCCTAACTAGTAAAAACAAGTAGTGTGACAACTACTTTGGAGAGAAGAAGGCAGCAAACAGCACAGGGAGATGGAGTAGACATCCTCAGAAGAAATAAAAAGGAAGAAAACATAGGCCTAAGTGACCAGAATGACTTTGCAACACAGGGCTTGTTATCCTTGCCTAGCAGAAAACCTGTTGTGGGAGCAAGCTGCCTGGCAGGCAGTGACAGCCTGCCCTGCCAGCCCATGGGATTTCTCAGTAGCTCAGGCAGTCCCTTGGGATTGCCCCCTTGCCAGGGAGTTCACTCAGCACCCTACATAGGGGAGCTGCACACACCAGGGCCCTCTTTTCTCCTCTCAGGTTTGGTGAAACTGTATTACCCTTCCACCAGTGAGCTTTAGGGGGACTCCCTTCCAAGTGAGGGTGTTACCAGTGCTAATGGAACTGGGCTAAAAAAACCAGAAGGGAGCATCCCCCGCTCTCTCCCCTGGCGAAGCAGTTGCAGAGCAGCAAAGGCTGTCACAGACCCTGCCAGAAGGGACATGAATGAGCACTGCTACTCTGTCAGCATGGTCCTTTGTGCAGAGCCCAGCTCATTAGAGAGAATCACACTAAAGCATCCGAGCACATGGCCATTTCAGACACGTGCAGGGTGCACTGTAATGGCCAGGTACCTGACACTGCTTAGCTGTCATCCAACTGTTTGCACAGACTCTAAAAGAACAAAAATTTTGAGAAACAGACATCCATCCATGCATTTAATCAGCTACTAAAGTAGCAAGTTAGAGCAGGGTACCCTATGAACATTTTTTAAGCTCTTAAAAAGGAAAAAAAATTAATCTCTTCTACTTAAGTACAATGCCTTCTTAACGCATGATGTGCAGGAAGAGACAATGTGTCAAGACCTACAAACACAACAGACATTCTGAGCAAGACTTGTAAGAAGCCCACTCTCAGTACAAAAAAGTACCAAGTGCTGGACCAAATCTCCCCCCAAGAAGAAGGTGACAGTGTTCTATTTACAAGAAAATACTGCTTCAGTTAAAAATGCTAAAAACCATTCTCTTGAGTTCATATAAAAATAATTATGTCTATGTATGCACACACATATTTACATACATTTATGGCTTTCAGTGCTTCAACCTTCTCCAATAAATGAGGAAATATAAATAAATACTCCATTACTGCTTTTTCTCCTCCTCAGGTTTTTCAGCCTCTGCTTCTGCAACTGATAAGCTGCCACTACCGTATTTTTTTACTCGGGTTTCTACTCTGGCAAGTCTCTGTTTCACCTTTTGTTGAGATGCAGTGTATTCTGCCATGAGCCTTGCAAACCTAGTCTGCAGCGTATCCAGAGCTACTTCAAGTCGTCCTATTTTTTCTTCCAAGTCTTTTGGGTCAGCTCCCGCTTTTGCTGCCTCCTCATCTATTAAATTGTCTTTCATCAGAATTTGACGTCCTTTCTCTTCCAGAGCCTTTTTGGCTTCTGGATATTCTGTGAGGGCTTCCATTAAATCATCCTTAGACAAGCAGAACAAATCAGAATAACCAATACTCCTAATGTTGGCTGTCCTCCTGTTGCCAGATTTGCTACCTTTGATGTTTAGGATGCTGATTTCACCAAAGTAGCTGCCATCGCTTAGGACTACAAATTGGGTTATGCCATCATCCGCCACCACAGCCAATTTTCCCTCTTTAATAATGTACATTTCTCTTCCAATATCTCCTTTTTTGCAAATGTAGTCACCAGGACTGAAGACCGTAGGTTTCAGTTTCAGCACCAGCTCAATGAGAAGTCCAGCTTCACAATCCTGGAATATACGCACTTTCCTCAGCGTGTCCAAATGGACATTGATGGCAATTTCAGCCTTCAACTTGTCAGGCAGATTTTTGAGAACTTCCTTCTCATCTACCGTTTTCTTGTTGGTCCAGAGGTAATCAAACCACTTAATAACCCTGGCTTCCAAATCCTTAGTCACCTTTCGGAACTGCATGTACTGTTTAATGGAATCCACTTTGGCCTGGAACTCTGCCCTGGAAGCATTCATGTTGGAAATCATAGAGCCGACGTTCCCGACAATGGTGGCAAAGATGAGCACGCCCACCAGGAAGTCGATGACCACAAAGAGATACTCCTCATCCTTCACCGGGGGCGGTGTCTCCCCAATAGTTGTCAGCGTGAGCGTCGACCAGTACAGACTGTAAATGTACTTCCTGGACAGGCGCGCGTACTCCGGCACGGACACGTTGGGATACACCCAGGTGTCGGTTCCGAACCCGATCACCTTCGATATCGCAAAGTATATGCAGGCGTTCCAGTGGATGATGATGAGAATGTACAACACCAGATTGCCAATGCGGAACATGTTTGGATAATTTGTCCTGGTCTCAGTACGGTCAAAAAACTCAAAGAGCCGAGCAATCCTCAGCAGGCGGTTAAACCGGAGCTCGGGGTAGTTCAAACCAAGCTTGAAATATGCCAGGTCTGTTGGCACAAGAGACAGCACGTCCAGTTTGAACTGCACAGTTTTGGTATAATGTTCTTGTAACTTCTTCTCATCCTGAACTAGCAAGCCTTGTTCAAGGAAGCCTTCAGAGAATAAAAAGATTTTACATTAGAGTAAAAATACCATCAACAGTAGTGAGTAACTTAACATTTCAGGCCTAAGAATGTTACAATTTGTACTGTTATGCCTACAGATATTGAGGTCATTTAATTGCATATTTAAATATTTCAATCAAGTTTCAAAGCTGATATATAATGACTAAGAACAATGACTCTATTTTCACCACAGTGCTCCCTGAGGCTTTCTACTCTTTCCTGCGACAGCTGTATCTTTTTCTTTTAAGTATCTTCGCAAAAAAAAGAGGGATATTCAAGTGTCTAATTTTTCATGAATCATTGGCATGAGTCATAACTAAAGTTAAGCAAGTGTATATAAAATAGGAGTGGAATATTTTAAAATAAATACCAAGAATAAGTTGGCATAATAGATTGTTGGAAACCTTTTCCAAACAATATAGATACCCTTGAGATAAAGAAATGCAGTCACCCCCCTCCCTAAGTCATGCTTTTCTTCTTGTGTCCAGTGTTAAAACTGACGTGATTTTCCTTGGTTTGCACTTTGCGTTTCTAGTGAGAGAGCTGCTAAGCAGACTTTCACACATCAAAATTTCTTCATTCCAAAGACTTTGAAAAGTATTAGATTTTAAAAATTTGCAAATAGATATAAACTGCAGTGAGAGACAAAGAGTACAGCTCTTTTGTGCCTCTGAGGGCATTAAAAATGTTCCACAAGGAACAGCCTATATAATTGATAGGTATCAAATACTTGCTGCAATTGGAGATATCCAACTGTCAGCCCATTGGGCCACTCAGGAGAAAATGTCCACTGAGGAAAAAGCAAAACATTCCTGGTGTATCCTGGATTATCACATTTTACTAACCCCTTAGCAATCTACAAGGCACCTATAGCTTTCTCAGGGAAGCCTCTCCTGAGGAACACCAAGCTGTATTTCTTTGTGCCCTACACAGCACGGTATTTCTGGAATGTGTGGTTCATCTGAAAATGCCACATCTATTTGTGTGTATCTGGCTTTGGATCTGCAAACTGACAGCAATTACGAATGGAAGTAGTTCCTGTGCCATGCATGTGCTGCCTCCCAGAAGACTGCTGAAAAAGCTGGTCAAATATGCCCTTTGGTTGTACAACTAAACAGAAAAGCTGGCCAGACTGATCAATTTCTGATACACAGTTATGAAAAATAACTTTGAAAACACCTTCCTCCTGAAAGGAGATAAAATCTCTTGGCTTTTTGTTCCCTTATGGAACTGGTCTTACAGTAAAATCTTCTGAAAGCATTAGAACACAGGGTATGCTAAACACAACCAGCTGCTGAGACATGAATCTTTTCTGTTTCACAGTGCACAGTCACCAAACAGGTGAAATGCAGTCCAACTGGCCCTGCAGCTAGACAGAAATGCACCATGGAGAAGCTGCTGATCAGAGTAGTCGTGAGGCTACCTAGATCTCAGTTCCAAGGCAGACCCTGCCCTTAGACAGGAGAAAGTCTCACTCTCCCCCAAAGGCTTCCAGGACCTCCATCCCCAGCACAGATGGACCTTGTGGACTCACATGAAAAGGCAGCAGGCAAAGGCAGAGCCAGGAGGAACTGTTAAGAGAGCTGACAAAGATTCTGCCACCTAAAAGAAGCAACTTCTTTCTTGGAGTGCCTGGAACTACAGCAGACACCTGCACTGAAGCATTTGGGAGACAGCTCCAGCAATTCTGCAGTTGCAAGCCAGGCCTGAAAATTCAAATTGCAGTCAGGCTTTAACAGCCATATAATCATTATCAGGACAGCCCATGGAAATTTATAACTCGCTTTGCCTGGACATGCCTAATTTCTGCTCTGTTCTTTCCCATTACATTAACAGATGTAACTGCAGAAGGTAAATTTAGTTGGCACAGTAGACATTTTAACTACATAAAGAAGATGAACACCCCTCCCCATCCTGCCCCAAATACAGCACTCTTGTGATTTTGGCTGGTACCTGAAACTGACTTTCCTGTTGAACAAGGTACTTGCTAAGTTTAAGGATTTGGCTTGCCATGGGTTGTGTGCTTCCCACATGACAGCATTTTTAGCCCATCTTGTAGTTATGTTTACAACTTCTCATAGGCCATAATTAACACAAGCTGTCAGCACAACTTAAAATAAATAAATAGATAAAAATGGATAAGATGTTAAAATGAAAGATCTAAAATTACTCTCATTTTTAAATGATCAGTGTTGTTTTGGACCCTTTCAAGGGACATTTTGAAGCTGTGTCTGTACCAGTGAAGAGAATGAGACAGGAGATGTCTTCTGGCCCAAGACCAGCTACCATGATAGCTTCTATTCACATGTAAGTTCTTCCAGGCCCTTCCAAAAACACCACGATGAACAACACCCAACCCCTGCTGTCCTCCTAGCTGTCCCCAGACACTGGGTGCTCTCTGGCATGGACCAAAGTGCAGCACCAAAGTGCATCAAGGACTATTCAGTAACTTGGTGACATGGATCACTGAATGCCATTGCTTAGGCCTATATTATGACCTTGCTCAGTTTAAAACAGATACCACTTTAAGGCTGGAATCGCAGCCGGCTGGATTACAGAAACAAGGACAAGAAGCTGAAGAGAACCACTTCACACATAGCATGGCACAGTCCTCATAAATCCTCTGGGTTTACACTTCCTCCAGGAAGGCAGGACCTAAGCAGGGGTTCCTGGGTTAACCCTGTAGCATCACCAGGCAGTGGGAAACTGCCAGGACCTCGCAGAGCTGCAGGAAGCACAGATGGTGGCAGATGGTGGCAGAGGGGCTGCACTGCCTGTTCCAGGCATAGGAGCACAGACAGAAGGCTGGGACAGGTGCCAGGTCTTGAACTTGACCAACTCAATAACCACTTCTGACCAGGATGCTGCATAGCTTGGTTAAGGAAATAGCACTTGTGGGGTGCAGCTGGTTTCCTGCCCCAAGTGCCCTATTGTCCCTTCCCCACACAGCCTGTTACAGTGGCTATGCACTCAGCATCTGGCACGCCTATTACTGACAGAACTGAATTTAGAGACAAGTGAAGAGCAAGTGTTGGAATGTATAGCCTTAGAAAATCCAAGCTGATCAGACACTTCATCTTCTGAAAGCCTCCACTGTTGCGCTCTGACAGGCTATTACAGTGGTCATACCCCATAGGGGAATTTTGTTTCCAGCCTTTAAATACATGCAGTATTAGAAACCAAATCCCAGAAAGACTCACCTGTTCTGAATCTGACGAACATGTCAATAACATAGATAATATCAGAGAGATAATCCAAGAACAGCCATATTTTAACATGGTCCATTTGTAGCTCATCAAAGCAGGCTCTAAATAAACAAAAATTTAAAAAAATAATTAGGCCAACTGCATAAGCAGAGTACTTGCATTACATGCCCTAGCAGCATGTTAGTGCACATTTCTGCTCCAGAAATATTACAGCATATCTCCATGTGCAGACATCTGCATACTAGAGCTATGTCCAAACAGACACCAGGATCTTTCAGAATTCAAAGTTGTTCTGGACAAGAATAAAGCTCAAACACATAAATGCCCCACTTATGGAGGATTACACATACCCCTTCAATTAAAAGTGCATCAGATTTCACGGGATACCTATCTCCATGAAGATAATTCCCACATAAAAGATTTGTTTCTCAGTGGCAAGCAATCCTCATCTCCCCCTACCATCTTACACAGTGTAAGGAAACCATTTCTACAGCTCTCCATCACTTTCACTGAAACTGATTTCTACATTCTACCATGGAAAAGAAATACTTGAGTTATATCCTCCTGCTCTTCGAGCATCCAAAAGATGTATTATATGAATTTAAGATGCCCCATCCACCACTGCCCACATCCCTCCTTTCTGTTCTCTCCTGGGTGGTGGGAAGCCCTCATCCCTGGCAGTGCCCTGGGATGCAGTGGCCAGGACACAGCTCAGCCGGCAGGTGGCACACAAAGGCCACACCAGCGCTCATGAGGACACTCACTGCAAGTTACATCCACCTGCTTTTAGACAAAAAGGAGAAAAAAAAGAAGAAACATTGGCAATCTATTCCCAGTGGTAGGCATATCATACATCCCTAAGGGTGTATGAACTGTAAACCTTCTAGGTAAGTCATTCAAAAGATACTGCAGGGAGATAAGAGGGCGATTTACATAGGAAACATAATGATTGAAATGTAAAATTGTTATTAACTTAAATCCATACCTGCACACTAGCATACACCAGTTATAGAATACAGGTGCTGCAATTACGGTCAGCCAGTTGTAGTACAGATTGCTTGAAGGATCTATCACAAAGACCTCCTTTTTCTGCCTGGAAAGTAAAACATGCAGATTTACACTGGAAATGTAAGCAAGCAACCTGCTGGATTTTCCCTCTTCTTGAGGCTGCTCATTTCACCATGAACTCACAGCTGCCCAAGAAGAGAAAGTATCCATGCAGGCAGTGCAGATGAGATACCAGGCATCCCATCTGACAAGCTCTACTTTTTTGTTTGACCCAGCTTTGGAAAAAGTAAGTAAGAGTGGAAAGAAAAACACAGACATTCATATCTCCCTGGATGAAACCCACAGCCTTCTGTATTAAGCCCCACACTGAAAAAAAACCCTTAATTGTTAAATGTCTCTTATTATCACTCAGATTAGAAGGTTACATTTCATGGCTAGAGAAAGAGCCTTCTTTTGCAGGTTGATTATTGATTTTCAGCAAATTCTCTTATGGAAATGACTGTATAAGCATGCATTTGAACAAGTAAAACATGTATGTATTCAAATAAATGTCTGTACAAGTAAGAAACTCTGTGTGCATATGCACATACAGTGTGTGTGACTAGAGCTGAAACATGTCATTGTGTAAGGCAAATTTAAAACATTCACAGTCCTGGCCCCTTAGGCCTCACAACAAGGAAGTGATGCTAAAGGAAGCATACAGGCCTGGAATGTAAAGATTTGAATGTAAAGATTTGAAGAACAGCATGGCTAATAGCGCAGGGTATGCTCAGAAGTGCCCACCTCCAGCATGAGAAAGGTTGATATGGAACAGAGAGCAATCAGGCTTGTAATCAGAGGAAATCAGTGGATTTGAGGTCCACAGCTGCAAAATTAATTCAACAGCAGAACTGTGATCTGTGGACTGTATAATAGTGTGCAGAATATGTGGCAAGGCAATGCTTGAATATGTATTTGTGGGACTTTTCCTAATCTCCAAGAATGCAAATATATTAAAATATAATGATAATTTATTTCAAATCTGTGTGTATTTCTGGCATTGACATTGCTGTCAGCTGAATACCCAGGCAATGTGAGTAAAGGAAGCAGCTTTAATCTAAAATGTATTTATTTACCTTACTATCTTCACTACTGGTTTTGAACCATTTCTTCTAGGAAACTGATCACCACCTCAAAACTGAAATGTGACCATGAAATATGGTCCTTATACATCAAAGTATACTACCTTGTAGACATTAAAACATTAATTTGCTTTGAGAAAATGTCTTAAAACACTCTTGGCTACTGCAAAGCTCACACTTTCACTGCACAGTAATTAAAGACAAAAGAGAGTGTTTAGAACAAAGGCTTTGTAATTGGGAAAAAAAATTAAAATCTTTGATTAATAAAGATCTTGGGATCAATCAGATTCTATTTGGAACGCCCTCATGTCTATGTAGCAGGTGCCACCATATACATACATATAAACCTACAATACATTGCTGTAACATACTCCTTAACTGTCAAATGCACTCAAATGCATTCTTTTTTTATCTGGCATCATCATTACTTTTAATCCCTGGTAATAGTAAATTGAAGTATATTTGGGTCATCTTTAGGGGAACAAAGCAAGAGCAGGATCCATTTCTGTCAAAAGCATTCGACTTATCTCATTTTGTTGCAGAAATACACCATCTCCTAACCAACAGAAGCAAATTTTAGTTCTTACTAGCAATGAACTGCACTGTATTAAGTAATTAAATAACTAGTCAGTGAAATAAGTAAACTTATTAGCAAATCTTTAATTTTCTTCATATAAGATATTTCTACATGGTAAGATGAACCAGACTTTTGGTTCATCTTCTCTGAATCATTATGGAAATTCTGGAACAATGAAAAGTCTGCAGCTCTGCAAAGCAGGCTGCTGTCCTAAAGTGTTGTCATAATTGAAAAGTGATCTTCAGTTCAAAGTGACCACAGGTAGCTCAATTCCCTTTTACTGATGTAGGCAGCTGTTTCTAAAAGACCTAAACAGAGGTCTTTAAGATACAACTTTGCTGAGCAATTGAAACCTTCCCAAAGAGGAAAATGTATTAAAGATTTGACAGGCTAAGAATCTGCAGTCTACGGAACAATTGTAACATTATAATGAATGCTATACCATGTTTTGTAATGTAAGAGACGTGCTACAATCACACATTCATTCTTCATACTTACTCTTCCTTTTTTTTATCATCTTTTTTGTCATCTTTTTTGTCATCTTTCTTTTCCTCTTTTTTCTCCTCTTTTTTCTCCTCTTTCTTTTCCTCTTTTTTCTCCTCTTTAACCTCTTTCTTTTCTTCCTTTTTGCTGTACAACATAATGCAAGGCTTAGCAGTATTACCAATACTGAGCAGTTAAGGGAGAGGGTGGAGGTTTGGGAAACTATTCTAAACTCCAGACAGAATAGGACAGGGATCCAACTGGAAAAAAGGGTTCTCAGGCTGAGGCCTCTCACCCTTGACACCACCACACCATCACATCAGGTAACCAGCTGGCTGATTCTCTGCATTAGTCACCCACACCTTCTTGACCTTTTCAGACATCAGTGTACCAGGCTGATTTTAAGTAAATGCTTTCAGTTTGATTGACCCTTAAGAACCCAGGCACTTAAAAAGAAACCTATCAAATGATGACAGAATGTGAAATGGAGTAACAAACTGTCAGCGTTCTTTGCACAGCTAAAACCTCAACGTGACTGTCTGAAGCTTTTGTAGTAATTATAAAAAATCAGGATGAATCTCCTCTCGTGGTTCTATAAAACCAGAAAAAATTCTATTAATTAACTGCCTCTGGATGTGAATTGTCCCATTCTTAGGTTTGTCTGAACATAAGAGTTCTGAAATATGTTAACTTAGGCAGACAGGCCCACAAATACTTTTCAAACCTACAGGAAGTTAACATCTTTCACAAGATTCTGACAATACTTAAAGCTAGATTTGCTACATGCCTTGGTCATCAATCATGTAATGTGTTGTGAAGATTGGTGCTCACTTGCACAAGCAGAAAATCCATGATCCGAGATCTCCTTCTTTTTTATTTGAACATTTCTAGTCCTTGAAGCAGAAAATGTCCCCCCCCAGAGAGAAAAGCCTAAGAGTGTTCCTCACTACAGTGTATGTGGATCACAGAACTCCCCACACATAATGTCTGGTTTGAATGAAAGCCATGGATTCCTGCTCCCATGGGAGCTCTGTTTTCTCCTCTGAACTGCCAAGGCTGGTTCTGAGTCTCCCTTTGCATGGGTGTCAAGAAAGGACAAATTATTTTAATGAGAGCAACACCCCACAGCAAGGACAGAGTATGTAACAGTGCTGCTTACGGGACTGGTGCTTTCTGTGCACACCTGCTCATATTGCTCAGACAGAAAGGTCTGTGCTGTGAATGGCAGTCACATCTAGGAAAGTGCTTGATACAGGGAGAAAGAAGTGCTCCAAAGGAGATGACAGCCACCAATTTTAAGATAGTAGCAGCTTTCACCAATCAGCAATGAGCACCTGTTCCAGTCCTTACACTTAGACTTTCCACAGTGATGCACCACTACAGTGTACTTTGGAAAAGCCAAGACTCATTTGCTAAAAAACTGCCAAGATCCCACACTCTGCCACATCCAGGGAAATACCTACCAAGCTGACCAACACCACTGACACCTTCAAAATTACACAGTAAAAGGGAGCAGAACTGGAGGGGAAAAGAACCTTTGGCTTGACTGATCTTCTATTTCTACTTGCATCTCAAATCAAAGAAAGAGTTCTTCATTTACCAAAGATGATTCCTACACAGCAGTGGGAACTGCTTCTCAAGAATTTATTTCTCTGGACTGACTGTCCAGAACTTTACCTCTTCCTTTTCCAATCTACCTTTTAACCTTTTTAAACCTTCCTGTTTAAAAAACACGTCAGGAATTCACTTGAGATTACCATGCATGGTGTCTGACCTAAAGGGAAATGCACAGTTGCTGTTGTTAGCATTAATGTAGATCCTCAATACTTCAAGTGCCTGGCATTCTTACCAGAAAGGAAGAACTACTAGTAAGCAAAATTTTCAAAGGGTAGGGCTGCCTTGTGCATTTGCGGATCCTGTTATAAAGGGAAAAGTAGGCTGAGATTGAGAATCAGCCAAAAAGTCTCAGTGGTGGTGAACTTTGGAGGGAGTATTTTGACAATTACAACTCCCTCCTATATTTGTGTTTTATTTTTTAAAAAGTGAAAAAACTTTATTTCACAGAGCATCTAATGCCAACACTTATTTTTCTCTGGCCTGAGATCTCCTACAAACTCATCTGTCAACTACAGGTACCTTTTGTAAATTAGTTTCTTCCATTCATGTTGCCTCTGTTGTCTTCTGTTGTGGTAACTCCCAATTTATCATACTCACATCTACTTGCAGTCTGACTGGAAATTGCTCAGTGGAAAAGGTTGGCCATAATCAAAGACTTGAAAGCATCATGTACAGTTCCCCAAGACATGGCACACTTAGCTCTTTAATATAATGAAAAGTCCACATTTCTTTTACTTTACCAGTAACACTGAGTAAACTGAAATCCAGTAACTAATAAAACAGTTTGTGTCTGTCCTCTTTGACCCCAACACAGCAGAATCCATGCTGTTTTTTAAGGTGTGTGCAGCTTTAGACTTAGAAATCTACTTCATCAGCCCTTCTAAAAACACTGTCGTAGTCTTTGAATGACTCAAATGTTTGCATTTCTCATCTGTCAAGTACTTTGCAAATCAAGTATGTTTCAGACTGTTGGACAGGTAGAGAGACAGGTCTTGTCTTCATTTAAAAATAATGAAACAGTGAAAGGATGAAAGTTCTGCCCAAGGTACCTGAGTCACTGTCAGAAACAGAGTAAGGCAGAAGTGTTTCTGTCCTAACCAGTCCTTTGGGCTCCATCTAGCAGGCTTGGCTCCAAGCTTATAGCACTTCTTTTGTATCAGTCTAAATAAAACCCTGCATATTTCTGTCACTGTTCACTGCATACAGATTTTCCTTTTGAATAAAAACTACGCAAACCAAACCAAAAAGTTGCATCAGGAAGATCTCTTGTTCAGCTATGTGCACAAAGGTTTTGCAGCATCATTTAAAATGTATGGTTTACACTTGCCTATGATAGAATTATTTGGAGAAAAAAAAATCCAAGAGTTTTCTAGAAGTATTTCTGACACAATCAAAAGATGTATTGATTAGTTTAAATTTTTTGTTTTCATCTAGAAAGCAATGAAAAGAACCTACTGTCATTATGCATGAGAACATATCTGCTGCTGAATACTAAAGAGCAGATATGTCTTCAGATTGCTGTGGTCTAAGACAAGCAACAAACATTGATGTTGGGTAATTTTAAATTACAGGAGCTCTTCACATTGTTTAAAAAATTTCTCTTTGGTGTAACACTGTGAAATAGCTTGTCAATTATATGAAATAAACTCAAAAGGACAGCTTCTGTCAGACACTCTGTGGCAATACCAGCCTTATTATGATGCCTGTCACTCTCTCTAAGACAATAGTACCTGCTGAACTGAAACACACACTTTTAAAAGATGGACATATAAATCGGTTTTGGTGCCCTCATCAGTATCTACTTCTCATTTGACAACCTGAAATTTTTGGGACACTTGATTTGCAAAAAGGTACCAGTGTGTTAAAAGAGGAAAACCACTATTAGAAAATTTACACATGAATCTCATTTAAAAACTGAAAAATGAATGAATCAGTTGGTAATGCAGTAAAATCAGCCAGCTGAACTACAGAAGGTAGGGACTAAATGCTTAGTCAAATTCACTCCTCGAGAGGAAGGGGTAACTTCAGACAAAAAGAAGTTCACAGGGAGAACAAAGGATGCTTTTCATACTAAGAAAACTGGACCTTTCTCAATAATAAAACTATACTAATAGGAAAGGCTTAGCAAGAACTAAGGAGTTTATACTACAAATGTTACTAGGCTGGATAGGGGAAAAGAGAAGGTGCTGGTAGTAGAAAGGTCTTTGGAGTTAACAGTATACTTACTCTTCATTAGTGTTGTTGCTGAAGTTGACATTGAACCTGGCCAAGGGCCAGTGACTGCAAGCAAGTTAAATAAAACACATTAAAGAGTGTCAGTAAAGGCTGCTGGTGTTTCACGCACGTGTTTGCCGACACGACAGACGGACTCACGAGCTTCTCACATAGGCACTGATAAGATTAGCAAGGTCAATTTTGACTGCTGTGATAAGCCCCTTTGCATAACTGCTTCAAGGCACCAGTTCCTTTCAGTCATGTGCCTGGCATACACATTTGTGACCACATCTGATGTCTGAAGCCTGTTCTTAGGCGTATTAGTGCATGGCAAGATGCACCGCACTATTTTTAGTCCTGTACTCACTGGGCTACTATTTTAAACTTTCTCCAATCCTTTCAAGTCCTCTTCACAGATGCAGTGTCAAGGCCTGTGGATAAGTAATGAGCATACCTACCCATTGCTGCAGAAGTAAGCCTTCATGATCCAACAACTGAGAGTTACTGTCCACTAGCATAAAACTGAGAAGGCAAGGATGGGTGCCCACAAATTAATTTCCAATAGCTTTGTGCAGAGGTTTGTTGGCCTATGATCAATGTTGTTCTCTCTAATTACTTCCCATCTGCAGATGCTACTGATCCAGACACCTGAGAAATCAGGCAACAGTCTGGCTAATTCAATAAAATGTGCTCTTGAGATAAGTTTTTAAGAAGCAGATCAAGTGAAGATAATAAGGCTGTGCTGGACTACAACAAATCAAAGTAACCTGTGTAATGCACAGATATTCAAAGGCTTTTGCTTTAATCTGAATTGCTTACTGAGATTTTTGAAACTAATTTGCTTACCTACCAGTCTTTAATTATGCAAAAAAATATAGGAGTCTCTGTTTCAAAGCCTAACGCCAAACAGAAAGTCAGCTTTTGTCTTGGGATTTCATTTTCCCATTTTAGCTGGAGTTAAATTTAAAACACTGTATTGTACATTTATAGAGTAATAAGTCATCACGTCAAAGAACTGTAAACACATAAAGGTTTCTCTTTTGTTTTACTGGAAAAAAATTAAGACTGAACCTGCCTTCCATACCAAAGACCACGTATGTGCTAATAAGCAAAGTCAGCATCCAAACGATTTTGTCATTTCTGCATCAGAAGCTTTCTGTAATGTTATCAGATGGACTTCTGAATAGATATAACAAAGCAATTACACATTTTGCACAACTGCTTCTTTAGAGTTTCCTAACACTTGCAGATAATGCACATTAAGATCCTGAAAAGCCAAAAGTAGAAACATCCTAGATTCTTGAGATAGAAATTGCATTCTCCTCAGTAGAAAGCAGTTTAGCAACATCAAGTTGCGTATGATAAAATTCCAGTTCTGAGAAATCACTCTGCCTGAAGCAGCATGATCAAAATCCTTCAATTCAAGATCTTGGTCACAGCGTGCTTGAGGAAGAAAATCTGTTCAAAGTGCAATACTTTAGTTATCTGAAGATTCCTGGGCAGCATTAGATACTCTGTTCATCTCCCACGCTAAGCTCCTTACTCTCTTCTTAAAATACAACTTACATCCTAATTACCAAGAAAACATGATAACCTCAGCTGTCTTCAAGTACAAACATGTCTTCTTACCTGTTGGCTCCCCCGGGCCGCTCCCGGGCACCCAGGAAGGAGCGGATGTTGCTCTGCCTGGTGGACACCTCCACGAGCTCTGGGCCCCGGATCCGCTCCAGGAAAGAGTCAGGCCTTTGGTCCTCGTGGTGCGAGCGCCTTGTGGCCCATGACCTCACGGATAACACAAACCGTGACAGCCTGCACGGAACACACACACACAATGGACTGAACCAGACAGAAACATGAGGTGGCTTAAAACATACCCACAAACACCAGCCAGGATTCTTCTCCACATGATGAAATTAAAATTGATGGAGTAACTGTATGAACTTGCCACAATTTCATAGATCACCTTCTGCACTGGATCAGGAAAATACCTCACACATCAGTTCTTATTCTACTGTATCCCCACTACAGGAGCAGTAGAATATTCTTGCTGAGTGAGGGCCTTTGCATCTCAAAGTGAGATATTCAGTGAAGTCCATTAGATGCAGTTGTCTTAGATCCTTGAGAATTTCCATCCAAGACTCATGTTGTGTTACCCTAATATTAAAATTGCTAGGCATTCATGTTTACATTACATCACAGACTTCCCTGTATATTCAGAGCATACATAACTGTAGCTACACACACGTCATTCAATCTATCCTGAAAAAGGGTAAAGAAATTATAAACAAAGATTAAAAAGGAAGCTCTTTGTATGAATTTATATATTCATGTGCATTATGTTTACACAAAACAAACTATAATCTTTTCTCCTCTAAACTCAACTTCTTGCAGACTTTGTAATCTACATCTGGTGGTGTCATTATCTGAAAACCAAGCAGGAAATTCCAAGTTTACTCTCCACTATCCAAAATGATGAAGTGTGAACAATACTCTTTAAATTACCCTAGATTTACAGTAATTTTTTCTTTGCTCTTTGAAATATACTGTGCTTAAAGTGACTGTGGTCTGTGTTATGTGGAACAATGGTATCTGAAGGCAGAGCCCTGCTGCCTCAGACACAAAGCAGACACAATAAAGTTTTGAAGCTCCACTTCAGGTTTATATTTAAGTCCCAGTAATACAAACAACTTAAGACAATGGTCAGCTTCAATCTTGCTGACTAGGGCTCCAAATCCATTATAAACATAACTGGATTCTAAAAACTGAGAGAAATTCTTGCACTCAAAACACAAAGACTCCCTGTCTCCTCCCTTTCCAGAGCCATCTACAAAAAGGAGACAACCATTATGTTTCATTTGATAGGGAACAAACACTGCATCAGCTATCAGAACCAAACACACATTTATTTTGAAGTCTGGCCTCACAACTCAATGCATTTCCCCAGCATTCAATGTATTTTCAGATACAGTTATGTAAAAATAATGTATTCTTTTATATTTGAAAAATTTCTTTGGGCTTATTCAGGCTCTCTCAGATTCTAAGACTTTTATTAGCAATAAGTAAGTGATGAATCAAGGTCAAATGCAACTTCTGTTACTTCTTACAGACATTCTTCAGCTGGACTCCATCCACTTTCTTTGGATGTACTTACTTCTTTCTTTGACTCCAAATTGTGACCAGTCTCTTCCAGCAAATCTAACTTAATATTTGAAATTCTATTAGTTAGTATGTTACCTTGCCATTGCTCCCCTGCCAGTGAAGGAGCTTGCCTGGGACTCAGGCACATGTCCTCCCTCCACAGAAATGACTCCCTGCAGCTCTGCAGGTGCATCCTCATGCAGTGAATGGGCTCTGCAAAAACAAATTTTTTTTTTTTAAGGAATTCCATGCAGACCTTCCCCCATCTGGTTCTCTCCACCACTGCATCAGGAAACAGTCCAGCACATTGTTCTCTCCCTAGTAATACAGCATATATTTGACAACCTTATTGCTAAGCCTGTGCTCCTATTCTTCTGGAGCCATCCAATATGAACTGAAGTCAGAGTACTCTGCCATACATTCCAGCAAGCTCAGAAACTAAAGACAACTTATTAGCACTTAAAAAATTAGCATTTGGGGGGAAAAAAAAGATTAAATTTTAGCCTCATCTTTCAGAAACAGAGTTTTGAAATTGACTTCACTGGAAGCTGAACTTTATGAGGGTTCACTCCAGATTTTTTTATAGTACTCCTTGGTTTTCTCTGTGTTTTTCAATCTTCAGTATTCACTTTTACAAGACTTTTTTACGTCAATTAAGAATCACTTTCTTCCCCCTTTGTAATGGAAACAAGAACTCTCACATGGGTCTGTTAATCTGTATTGCCAGGAAAACACTGACAAAAATGATACTTGCAGTATCTTCATAAGAGCAGCAGCATTGTGAATGCCCACAAAAGGATAATCAACATCTCAATTTTATGTGCACTCACAGCTGAAAAACTAACAAATAAAGAATTAAAACTTATTATTTCTACCCAAAGAACAATGCTAAAATAGATACTGACAGTCCTAGGATTCTCAGCTTGTTAACTGTTTTCTACTTCTCCTCCATTAACAAAACACCATTTAGTATTGAAAAACTTTTATAACCTAATTTATGTTGCCAGTGCTGAGAATACTGTGGTTGCCAAAGTTAATATCCTTCTAAGGGACAATGAACAAACTCATGGAATAGGCATTCATCACAGATTACCAGAACTCTCTTGAGCTGAATGCTGAGAGAATAATAGAGTTTGTCCACTTTTTTTAGTATTTCCTGGAGAAATTTCCTACAGACCTGCTGGAAAAAGGATACTGGACTAGTTAGTGTTTTAGACTGCACTACCACGGCTGCTTTTAAGTATTTTATTCCCATTTACCGAGTAATATACATTTTATGTGATCTTTGCAATAAATTCTAATATTGTTAATGGCAGTGCCTAAGAAGTATCTAAGTTCCCATCATAGCCAATGGCCATCTCAGGGCTTGATTCAGCTGCTTCAGAATAGAGTCTGGTACAATCTGTAACACCTCAGAATACTTTATTGGACATCTCCAGAGCACACAGCTCTCTCCTCACATCCACTAGTGCCAGCTAAATGCTTCAAATACTCTGTAGTATCTCAAATAGCATTAGATGCCTATTTCAGGCAACTAAATACCTCTCATAATCAAGAGAGCCAAAGGAGCCTGAAGAGTTTCTGAGTTTAAGTTGAGCAGTTCCCTGGGTGCTGCTGACCACCAGTACTGACTGCAACTCCACTCTGGACAGCAGGAATGAATGTAGGCACCTGCTCACATAAAGACACTGAAATCCAGATGTCTACAGGGCACAGCTGAATCCTACTTTCAACTTTAGATAGCAAACCCGTGTCTATAAGCTGATGTGCTGCCTCTCCTATTTGAGCTGTTTCTATACAGAGGCTGGGTTTTAAAAATAGAGATTCATTTGTTATTTTTGGGGGGTTTTTTTATTTTTGTTTTAACAAAATGAACCAACTTTATAACACACTACAGAGTAAGAATATGAGCGCATGAATCACTGCAGCATGAACGAGCACAGCATTTTAAAGATCAGTAGCAACTTTCTGTAAACTGTTGCAGTGAATGCTTTTTCTTGGTGACACCTCATTTCACAGCAGAAAAGTGCTTAAGCACATCCTTAGCATTAAGCATAAATTTAACACCCACTGACTTTATTAAGAACTAAGTAATGTGTTTAATTGCTCTGTTGAACTATAGCAAATAGGAGCTGGAGGAAACCAAAGGCAAAGAAGAAAAGCTGCTACTCTAGCAAATGTTCTTTTCTTCCCAACATCTATAGTTGCATATTTTGATGTGAGATAGAGAAACCTAAAATCCTGGATGGTTTCTATCTTTTGGTACAGACATATTCTAAAGCAAATCTGAATTAGAAAAAAAAATGGTATTATAAAGATATTGTATATACTTAGCAGCACTCATTTCAAAAATCCAGAAATCTTAAATATGAGATCTTTTTTTACAGAGCAAGACTATATCTCCTTACCCATCTATGAAGTCCTGCAATTAATGCTGATAATATCAAACTTTCCTTTAAAAAAATGCCTCTTCAAGACCAACACCATGATGATAAAGTGCAATTCATATTTCAGTCCCTCTATCTGTCAAAGTCATTGCCTCTGAAATTGCAGATGACCGCAGGGATTTAATTCTACATTTAAATCCTTAAAACCCCACTCTCACATCCCAGCCAGTAATTCCATTCTGTGAGCTGCCAATCACTGACATCCACTACAAATAGGGCATTAAAAAAAAGGAAAGGAAGAGGCTCATTTCAATCTGTGTTTTCACTTTTTCTAACACATCACTGTTAATGGAGGGAAAGGGACAGGGCTCTTAAATCTCCCTAAGGAGACCATGGGGTAGTGCAAAAACAGCAAGCAAGCCTTACTGTGCAGAACAAATCAGATCCATTTTCACTACTGTAGGTACATCCCTGTGACAGAAGGTATCATGTAAGCAAAGCAAGAAGAAATAAAGGACCAATTCAAACAGAGCATCCATAGCAGCTGCTAGGGATATGCAATCCAAAAATCACCAAAGTGCAAGGAGTCCCATCAGGATTCTGGGTGCTCTAGTCTGGTGTGCATTTGAACAGCAAGAGACAGCCTGGCAAGATCCACATAGAGGAGGTGGTTGGCCATAACAAGCCAAAAGCAGAAAACTTTTTCCAGCCTTAATGGAGACGCTATGGATTATCAGGCATCTTTCCACAGGCCCAGCAGGCTTTGCCCAATCTAGAGGAATGACTGCTACTGTGCAATAGGTAAGTGCAAGCTCCCTGGCATGTTTCAAACAGCCACTTTAAAACTATCAAAACTAGAGAAAGGTGAATGTAAAGAAACTATTACATTTCCTCTGTACAGTGAGACATTCTGAAAATCCAGCACAAAAATGCTGATACTCTTTATACACTACAGATTTTCCCTATTACAGGAATAGGCAATTTGTAGAGGCTGCTTTAAGAAAACCAAATGTTCCCAAGGCTTCTCACTGCATGGTGCTCAAAGGATCTTTTTCTTGACCATATCCTACATACTTTGTTGGAAGCATAGACCCTGTGTGCTACCTGTGTGGTGACTTGAGAAAGAGGTTTCTCTTCAATGAGTTAGTGCAACCTCCTGTGTCTGTCTCTTCTATACTTTTGGATAGATGTTGTCAAGTCTGTAAAGTGCACTGGGCCAACAATACCACAACACAATATTCCCATAATTCTAGCTGCCATTCCCAGAGCTAAAGGAGTTCCACAAACTATGCAGCAACCTGTTCTCTTGACTGTGATGAAAGGAAAATATTACCTGATATAGCCATTTTCAATCCTTTCGATATCTTCATCAGCAGTTCTGACAGACAGGCTGTGTACACCAGGGTAGGAGTGCCGGGTGTTGATTTTTGCCATTTTGTTTTACATATCAACATCTAAATGACAGCTGAAATGGGGAAGAAAAAATTATGAAGGCTTCAAAAGGAATGCGCTCAGTACTCAAAAAGAGTTCTTTATTAAAACAGTGGAACAGCAAAAAGCAATTTCAACCATTTGAAGGACGGTCAGTGATATTTACACACACATATGACACGTGTTTCTTGATTTATTTGCAGTAGACAGAAGAAAAAGTGTTGTTAGTAAAAGTTCATCATGACCAAAGAAAAAGGGTTACATGACATCATATTCTTTTAGTCTCTGGGCTTTATGGAGTACATACACTCTCATACCTATTATCCATAGTGAAATTGCATTTAAAACCTCATTAAAACACGGTTAGTAAAAAAGTCAACTAAAAAAAGCCTGGTAATACATGTGCTAGGACAACCTATTCCACTTTACATTGATTTCCCTGTGCTAATTTTATCTATTTTATGATTAAGACTTTTATTCCAAAAATCCATATTAACCAAGCAGATAATTAATGACATTTAGCCCTTAGTTTAATGCAGGCCATGCTATAATTCTATATTATTAAAACTCTGCAGTAAACACACACTAGGGGGTTTTATTACAATGCTTCAAAAGAGTCTCTGTTAAGATATTTAGCAGCTCAAATCCTACAAGTTTTAAAATGTTTGTCTGAATTTCTTTCCAGATTTGATCTTCAATGCCTTTCCAAATTCATATCACATCAACTACTTACAAAATGAGTTTTAAGACTCAAGACAAGTGTCTTACAAATGAAGGACTGAAAGAATTTCAGTGAAAGCTTTGAATTTTTCAACAAGAAAAAAAAAACGTTTAGAAACTCCATTCAGGAACCTTTTTTCTTTGAAATATGACTAGAATGAAATTCCCTCAGGATCAATCAATTCCCTCACACTAGGTCATGTCCATTTTTCGCCTGTAATCCTCTGTGTCACTGACCACACAAGATCGACCTTCAACACCAAATGAAACACAGATCTTTCAGAACCTTTGTGACCTGAATCATTCAGGTTATTACCCATGGTTAGAACATTATGCACCACTTTCTTGAAAACAACATACCTGACTTACCCTCCACTCAATTCCCAGACAATTAAAGTAATACACAACTTTAAAAATTATTTAATGTATTTTACAGTGTTTTTTTTAAATCCAGAAATAATGAAATTACTCTAGAAACAGCCTTGGGCATCACTTCATATTCAAAAATTTTATTAGTACTCCCCATCACTAATTTTGCCTTAATTTAAATCAGTTACTGTCTGTGTCTCACCTTAAACTGAGCCTTGTTCATGCTGATTAACTGAAGTTTAACTGTGGAAAAAAATGGCATTTTTATTACACATTGATATGAAAAAATTCAATTCTTTCAACCCACTCTCAGATTGGAATGTTCACTCAGAAGAATTAACTTCTAAAGTGTAGATAATTTATGTTAAAAAACAAAACTCAGTTTTAAAAGCTTGATAGTGGGAAGAATTATTCATAAGTAACAAAGCATTAACCTTTTTTCTAAAGTTGTAATTTCAAAGTAAATTTAGCACTGAGTGAAGCTCTTGACTAGTTCTGACACTTAACAGTTCCACTTATCAGTTCTGGTGATTCACAATCAGATTGATGTCCACCTACAGCAGTTCTTAAAAACAAGGGTCACCTGGTTTATAAACCTGCTGATTTGTTGGAGGTTATAAAGTAAGCAACTCTGTTAAAAAAAGTAAAACTGTTAAAACAATAAAAGCACGAGATAGCGAAACTCTTCTGAAGTCTTGTGGTGATGTAGATAATTTGCTGCTAACACCAGGGATTCCCTCACTGATAAGACACATTGCTTATGAAACTGGAGATGAGTGAGCAATGCCTATCTATGTTTCAAATGCTGTAGCTGTGGCACATGGATTTCCAGATGCATTTGTGCATCAGTTCCCAAAAGTTTTGTTAAAAAACATGAAGTACAGCACTTCTTTACACTTAAAACTGAAATGGCTGAAATTGGATATTACTAATCTGGAATTAAACACTTTTAACAGATATTGGAATTAGATACTCCAAACCTCCTGAAAGGCTTGAGTATGCCAGTGGAGCACTGAATACAGGAAACCTTATTCAGGCTTTCAAAAGCTATGCCACTAAAAAAAGAAAAAAAAATAATAGCATATGAAGTCAAACACTATATTGAATTAAAAAAACAAGAAGACAGAAAGCAAGAACTGGACTAAATAGTCACCTTCACCACTACAGAAGTTTAATAACAGTATTCCTCAGGGCTCCATAGGAAAACCTGCTGTTAATGATGCTGGTAGAAAGATGAAGTGGTGATACAGTAAGATCTCAGGATGGCAAAAAATTATATAGGCAAGAGAAAAAAAAGGACTGCAAGGAACCTCAGGGTGACCAACATCAACTACAGCAATTTCTCAATTTGATAAGTGATATACAACACAGGCAAATGGAACCCATGAATACAGGTGAAAAGCATGCAAACTACTGCCCTACATGCTTCCAAATGAACCATATGCACTCAGAAAGGGATCCTGAAAGGGTAGTTTTGGATTAAATATTAGGAAGAAATTCTTCACTATGATGGTGTTGAAACATGGGACCATGCTGCCCAGAGAAGCTGTATATTCCCCACCCCTGCAAGTGTCCAAGGCCAGGCTGGATGAGGCTTTGAGCAAACTGGTTTGGGGGAAGAGGAGTTGGAACTACATGGTCCTTATGGTCCCTTCCAACACAAACCAATTTATGAGCTTAGGACACAGGTACAGCTCAGTGAAACAGCGTGCTCACTGCAGGGCAGCCTTGCTGACACAACTGACAGTGTACACATGGAACATGTTAATGACACAAAACCCACCAAAACTGCCCCATGAAACAACAGTGCAGACTTATCTGGAGCACTCCAAGTCCTTCTCTTAATCAGAAAGATAAAGCAGAATAACAGCATGGCCAGAATGATTAAAGACCTGGAAAAGGGAAAATGGGGCCTGCTCACCCTAAAAGGTGAAGACTAAAAAGTTACAAAATAAAAACATGTAGGCAAAATTTCAGGTCATTTCAGATCCCTTACCATCATTTCAGCAGTAAAATTCATGTTTAATATACAGTGGGGTCTGAACTCTTATTCTGCCCTATACTGGAGGAAAGGAGGTGAGAAAATTTTCACAGAAATACAACTCTACTACTAAGCAAAAAAATACATTAATATATTTTTGGAAGGAGGTAGGAAGAGTGGATGAAAGTGTGTTACCTGTGCCCAGCTGTGGTAGAGAGAGACTGAACACAGGACAGATACAAATAAACATTGAGGTAATTTGGGTACAGTGAAGGTGCTGAGACCTCCTGAAGCAAAGTGGTTTGGCCCATAAAGCCCATAAAGTTCTGACAAATTACTAACTATCTGATGGAGAAGAAATATTTGTTCCTTACAGGCCTCTAAGAACCCTAAGGACAAGTGTTTTTAATAGTCTAGGGAGGAGATTGACATTTCAACATTGGATCCAAAATATGGCAAGTAATTAACTAAGGAGCAGCTTAACAGGAGTCAGCCAGCAGGAAAGTCCTGAAGAGTCAGGAGGCTCCACAAACACCTTCTGCAAGGACACAGAGAGACAGCTCCAACCATCTGGGACCTGCAATCCCAAAACTGCCACTAAACACTGGTTCTCACAAGGCAGTTTTAAGAAGTGAGTAGAGCTCAGTTTCATATTTAAAACCAGGCAGAGTGGTGGGTTGGCCTTGGCTAGCTGCCAGATGCCCACACAACTGCTATTGCACTTCTCCTCCTCAGCAGCCCAGTGGGAGAAAGCTCACCATTGGTCAAGAGGAAAAAACAGGAAGAAAAAAAGACATTGGAAGACCAATTGTCATCACAGGAAAATGGGCTCAAACTGGAGAAAACTCAATTTAGTGCAAATTAAAATGGAGTTGGATGGCAGGAAACAAAGGCAAAACACTCTACCACTCATTTTCCCCAGATTCAACTTTACCCCTCTATTCCCAACTCCTCCAGCTCCTCTACCCTACCCAGCAGCACAGGGGCTGGGAACAGGAGGCTGCAGTCAGTCCCTGTTTCCTCCTTGCTGCTCCTTCCTCCTCACACCGTGCCCCTGAGCCAGTCTGGGTCCTTACTGCAGGCTGCAGTCCTGCACAAACTGCTCCACAGGCTGCAGTCCTGCAGGACAAACCTGCTCCACTGCGGGTCCTCCATGGACCACAGAACCTGCTCCTGCACAGGCTCCTCTTCACTGGCTGCAGTCTGCTTCAGGAATGGCTCCACCAAAGGGTCCTCCACAGGACTTGCAAGGGAATCCTGATCCAGTGCCCACAACACCACCTCTGCTCCTTCTTCTCTGACCTTGCCTTCTGCAGAGATGGTTTTCACCCTTTCTTTTCCCCTCAGTCCCCAACACACTGCCCTTGTGGCATCCCACTCTTCTTTAAGTGCTTTTTCCCTGAAGTGCCACCCTCTTGACCACAGGAGGGATGAGCTGGAGCCAGTTGTGTCCAGCACAGGCAGCCCTGGCTGCTGCTCACATCAGCCCCACAGCCCCTGCCAGCCCCTGGCACTGCACCCACCCTGGTACCTGCCTTTTATAAATAACAGCTCCTACCTGGGAACTACAGTCTCTGCTCTGAATATTTAATGCTAATAATTACACTGAGGGTAAAACTTGATTACCTAAAGGCTGACAAGTCTTGTAAATCCATGTTAGGCACTAGAACAGGTATTTAGCTTACAAGTCATTTAACAAAAACATAGATAGACAGACAGACACATTGTCCTCTGAGCCTCAGTCTAGTCACCCAGCAAAATAAAACTTGAATCTCTCCTAACTTGTGAAAGATTGGCATCTTCACCAATGCCCTAAGCAGAATTTTAATATGCTTTCTCACCTAGTCTTTTCTTCCTTGCTACCTATTGGGTAGGACTGAAAGAGATTAATAATCCCACACTCAAGAATATTGCTTTTCAGTGCCTAAATCAC